TATGCAATGCTGCAATGCTTCCTACACCAGCAGCACTCCAGCCTCAGTGTCTGTTTGGAGTAAAACAATTCACCAGCACACCCAAAATCCTGTGCAGCAGTTTAGTGGCTTCTCGGTTTACCCGCAGCCCCGCTGTAGGTATTACTGACTCTGGTCCCAAATGACTTCCAGGAAACCACACAAGCCCACAATGTGATTGTGGGACAAGTGCCATGGGGATATTCCATTGTGGATTGAACCTAATGATGGTGACCACAAGCGTCCCCTGATGTTTAGCTCTCTGCTGCTTATAACATACAGAAGATCATGTGGAATCATGTGACCTGTGTATCTGTGTCAAGGTTGCGCTTGTTATGAATTTCCTTCCGCTCATGTTATGCTGCAGCTGTAAAAGTGTGTGCATCTCTCATTCCTTCTTCTTCCCTTTTTTCAAAGTAAATCCACTTATTGGAAAACAGAGGACAGTGAGTCTCACCTTTTGTCCGGGTCTTCCAATTTCACCCTAGCAACATAAAGGAGGGGAGGAGGGAACAAATCAGTTCATCTATGTGTTACAGTATACACAGTCTTGGGTGTCACTGAATAGTTTATAAAGGAATAGTTAATAAAGTTATAATTTCTTGAGTCATAATTTCAAAAGAAGACATTTTTAATAAAGTTTCAGCAGTTTTTAGCAAAAACAGTTAAAAATTTCTTCAAAAGATCTTCTTTTGTATTTTCTGAGCCTGGTTCAGTGTTAGTACCTAGTTATTACACAGTTATTATAATTACTATAATAAGTACATAGTATGTACATGCTGATTAGGACTGTAAAATAAAGTGCAACCATAACAAGAATCTTATTTGCTTCCTTAACTCACTGGACCACTTAGTCAGCCTCATTTCTCTTTCGTTTCATTCTTAACCACTTTTCATGCTGTTGTACGTTTGTATTATATTTACATAAGTATGTGTCGTACCTTATCTCCCTTTGGTCCCAGCAGTCCAGCAGGACCCTGATCATAAAACAAACATACCTGTTTAGTGCTTATCCAAAACCTTTTGCTAAAGCCATAGCAGCAATATTTTTTTTTTAATTTTGACCAAGAGTGTTGACTACAACTTATAATTGTTGTAAGTCATTTCAATGCCAAAATTATGACTGTTTCCAAACAGGTTTCCCTCCTGCCTTCTATTGGTTGACATAAAAGCGATAGCCCCACCCAAAACTCAAACAAAACAATGGTCAAAGCGTCACAGCATTGGAACTTCTTGTGGAAATCAGCCTATGAATGGCTTCCTAATAGTTGGAAAATGTTTTAATGAAAAAATTATGCACTGCACCTCTAAAATTATCATCGCTGTTGCAAACTTCAGTGTTACAAAAGGATGCATAAATAATGTTTTTGGCTGACAATCTCAATAATATTCGCTACACAATTGATAACCTATGACAGAGATCAAACTGTACTGAGATTTGACTGAACTTGTGGGGTTTTGAGAGTCTGTGGGTGTCTCTCTTGGGGTTGTTTCTAAGAATGGTACGGTGGAGCAGAGGCTGGCAATGGAAAAAGGTCTATTTCCATCTGCTCTAAATGTGGCGCGTTAATGGCCTGCTGTGTCGTGGGGGGCCAAACTGGTCACATCCGTGTCACTACAGAAAGACGTCTGGGGAACTCACACGGGTCTCACATGCTGAGAGGGTTCTGAAGGCTAATTACAGAGCTGGAACTGACCATTGTGACAACCCAATACTCTGCTTCCTTGAAGCACCAACTATGCATGTGACTTGCTTTTACTTATACTGTAAAAGTGTTACAGTTTTTAACATTTGGTTTTGTCAGGGTCTGTACATGTAAATATGGCTAATGGGTCAGTGATATGACACTATTTTTTGTCTGGGTCAATTCATATTTTCAGAAATAGAAATAAAAATGTCATTAATAAATCCTCTTCTATGATGGGTTAGGTTTTTACATTTCTGAATAAAAAAAAATGTATATAAAGCAAAAAAAGGGGTTATAAAGTAATTTAAGTAATTTATGTATGTATATATATAATTGTTGTTGCCTAATTGTTTATTAGTATTTCTCAGAAAGAATATTTTATCCAAACTGCTTCACTAATTGAAATATTTGAATTATTGAAACATTTCAATATCTGAATAATATTTTTTTTAAATATTACCAAATCAAGGTCATGTGGTGTGTCCATCATTTAAAAACATGCAGCAATAAATTAAAAGTAATTTGACATTTTTATAAAATGGCAAGTTTTGGTTGTAAAATGTCTTGTGGTGCAATAAAGCATAATTTATGAATTAATAATTCTCATTAAAAATACATTTTAATAAATAATTCACGATTCTTTAAAAAAATTTTTTTTTTAACTTTTTTAAAATAATGATCATGATACACCCACATGTATTAAAGGTAAGTAAAATTATTTTATTCTTTTATAGTTACACCACATGACATTTTAAAGCATTAAACAAACTCTTCGGTATTAAAATGGTATTAAAGTTTTTCAAAACCATATGAAAGCAACATGAATACATGTATGTTCTGAACATCTAAACAAATCTAAACAAGATTTTTCCTTTTTCTCATTGGCCCTTCTTTCTGTCTAGCTAGCTTGTCAAATGTTCTTGTACATAGTCTTTGCCATTTGAACAGTATACAAAATCAACCAAGCCTCCAAACAGAGCAACTATAGATCATTGCGGCATGACATTTCACTCAATGTGGAAAAAGCTGTTTACAGATGCATGGCTTCATTTGAAAATCTTGTACCAAAAATGTATGTAAATACGCCTTAAAGTCACCTGATTCATAGTTGGACATCCAACTATGTTTCATCCTCAACATGAAAATTGGAAGCACATACCTGAGGGCCAGGAGGTCCTGCTGGTCCCGGAGGCCCTGGGGAGCATGTCTGAGGTGTGGGATTGTATGGGACATTTGGTGGAACATCAGTCTCAGTCTATAAAAGAAGTCATAGAAAATTACATCTGGAAACGATGGAAATGGGAAAATGTTAAATAGAAAAAATAGTCCATAAAGTGTTACAGTTTTCGCAGTTTCAGTGGTTCAATTTACATCTATTATATTTCTTTATCACCATAAACTATTGTGGTCATTTAGACAGACATAATGTATTTATTGACACCCTGAGCCCTGTAGTACCTGGAACCTACACATGAAATCCAGGTGCTTGATCAGAGGTCATGCGTCAGGACTCACCAGAGGGCCCTGCCGCCACAGGGAAGGGGGTGGAGGGAAGAGAGGGGGCGGAGGTGGACTCAGTAAACAGCAGGGGTTGAATTTCTTCCTGGTTTCCAGCAACTGGAGATCTAGATGAGGGGAAATAAGGTTCATGAGGAACATGTCAGCAGACACGTGGTCCAGCGGAGCAGTGTTTCTCTCCAGTTTTGGAAAAGAGGGACTGAAACACATGTGTGTTTTATACTATGATACTTATCAGGTAGATGAAATGAAGAGTGTAATGAAAGGTCCTTCATTACTAAAACTAAAGATTAATCTGCAAATATGTAATGCTAGAGCTTTTCTTTTCTAAATAACTCTTAAAATATAAATAATCATTTATTTTCTAAATAATTTCACTTTTCTGAGGCATTTATAATGACTTCATCAATGGGATTTTACTGATTCTTTTAGTGAATTTTCATAGTTGCATTTACTATAATGTATATGATATGATCCACTAACATCTGACAACCACTGTCATATTGAGCAGTATATGTGTTGTTTTATTATTTGAAACTTGTTTTGAACAGTTTTGCTATAAAACATTTTTTAAAATCTTATAAATAAATATTTAGTGTTATTTTTTTTTCACTTTTTACAAATACATACACATACACAATGAACACACACACATTTAAAAAATACCCTATAAATAAAACATTGTTGTGCAGAAGCAATAGTGACCATAAATAAATAAATAAAGTACACAAACCCCTATTGTTATGCAGAGGAAATATATATTTGATTTATTTAAATGGCAAGTTTTGGTTGTAAAATGTCTTGTGGTGCAATAAAGCATAATTTATGAATTAATAATTCTCATTAAAAATACATTTTAATAAATAATTCACGATTCTTTAAAAAAAATTTTTTTTTAACTTTTTTAAAATAATGATCATGATACACCCACATGTATTAAAGGTAAGTAAAATTATTTTATTCTTTTATAGTTACACCACATGACATTTTAAAGCATTAAACAAACTCTTCGGTATTAAAATGGTATTAAAGTTTTTCAAAACCATATGAAAGCAACATGAATACATGTATGTTCTGAACATCTAAACAAATCTAAACAAGATTTTTCCTTTTTCTCATTGGCCCTTCTTTCTGTCTAGCTAGCTTGTCAAATGTTCTTGTACATAGTCTTTGCCATTTGAACAGTATACAAAATCAACCAAGCCTCCAAACAGAGCAACTATAGATCATTGCGGCATGACATTTCACTCAATGTGGAAAAAGCTGTTTACAGATGCATGGCTTCATTTGAAAATCTTGTACCAAAAATGTATGTAAATACGCCTTAAAGTCACCTGATTCATAGTTGGACATCCAACTATGTTTCATCCTCAACATGAAAATTGGAAGCACATACCTGAGGGCCAGGAGGTCCTGCTGGTCCCGGAGGCCCTGGGGAGCATGTCTGAGGTGTGGGATTGTATGGGACATTTGGTGGAACATCAGTCTCAGTCTATAAAAGAAGTCATAGAAAATTACATCTGGAAACGATGGAAATGGGAAAATGTTAAATAGAAAAAATAGTCCATAAAGTGTTACAGTTTTCGCAGTTTCAGTGGTTCAATTTACATCTATTATATTTCTTTATCACCATAAACTATTGTGGTCATTTAGACAGACATAATGTATTTATTGACACCCTGAGCCCTGTAGTACCTGGAACCTACACATGAAATCCAGGTGCTTGATCAGAGGTCATGCGTCAGGACTCACCAGAGGGCCCTGCCGCCACAGGGAAGGGGGTGGAGGGAAGAGAGGGGGCGGAGGTGGACTCAGTAAACAGCAGGGGTTGAATTTCTTCCTGGTTTCCAGCAACTGGAGATCTAGATGAGGGGAAATAAGGTTCATGAGGAACATGTCAGCAGACACGTTGTCCAGCGGAGCAGTGTTTCTCTCCAGTTTTGGAAAAGAGGGACTGAAACACATGTGTGTTTTATACTATGATACTTATCAGGTAGATGAAATGAAGAGTGTAATGAAAGGTCCTTCATTACTAAAACTAAAGATTAATCTGCAAATATGTAATGCTAGAGCTTTTCTTTTCTAAATAACTCTTAAAATATAAATAATCATTTATTTTCTAAATAATTTCACTTTTCTGAGGCATTTATAATGACTTCATCAATGGGATTTTACTGATTCTTTTAGTGAATTTTCATAGTTGCATTTACTATAATGTATATGATATGATCCACTAACATCTGACAACCACTGTCATATTGAACAGTATGTGTTGTTTTATTATTTGAAATTTGTTTTGAACAGTTTTGCTATAAAACATTTTTTAAAATCTTATAAATAAATATTTAGTGTTATTTTTTTTTCACTTTTTACAAATACATACACATACACAATGAACACACACACATTTAAAAAATACCCTATAAATAAAACATTGTTGTGCAGAAGCAATAGTGACCATAAATAAATAAATAAAGTACACAAACCCCTATTGTTATGCAGAGGAAATATATATTTGATTTATTTATTTAAATAAATACATACATACATACTTTAAAATAGAAAGTCCAGAAAGATGTTAACTTTGCAAAAACAAGCACTTGCCTAATTAAACTTTTCACTGTAGTGTTGACTGACAAAACTGAAACAGCCATTTTGCCATCAGAGATAATAACCAGAAATAATTCATTGATGCCTTTGGTGAAATTTGTTGCAAAATTATGACAAAAATATTTACTTTATTCTTAATACAGGCCTGCGGACTCCAAATTGTTGAGTATAGTATTGAAATACAAATTGTACTTGAAATTTTCCCCATAATATTCAAGCCAATCTATACTGGCACACAATATACTGTATATCACAAAAAGAGCAGTGCAGCCTAATTCATGTTATCAATATTCTGCAACTGCATTTATTTAATTTGCATGACTCTGAGTGAAATTACAGTCAGTCAAATATGTTTTTGCTGGTGTTTTCGTTGCATGTCATGTGCAAACATACTTCTCTCTGTAAGAGAAAAACCTTAATATCAGCATACCAAACGTGCAAAAAAATAGTGATGTCTTACCTGTTGGAAGAGGGAATATATTATCCATGTAAGAGAATGATGCCACATAGCAGAGGAGTTGAAAATATAGTCCAAGTGTGAACAGAATCATGTTGCCGGCTGCGGTCTACCTCCAATTGCACCGAGGAGTGATCTGAGGCAGTCCCGCACTACTGCTCTCTCTCCCCGCCTCGCTCACACACACACACACACACACACACACACACACACACACACACACACACACACACACACACACACACACACCCTGCGGACTCCAAATTGTTGAGTATAGTATTGAAATACAAATTGTACTTGAAATTTTCCCCATAATATTCAAGCCAATCTATACTGGCACACAATATACTGTATATCACAAAAAGAGCAGTGCAGCCTAATTCATGTTATCAATATTCTGCAACTGCATTTATTTAATTTGCATGACTCGTGAAATTACAGAGTCAGTCAAATATGTTTTTGCTGGTGTTTTCGTTGCATGTCATGTGCAAACATACTTCTCTCTGTAAGAGAAAAACCTTAATATCAGCATACCAAACGTGCAAAAAAATAGTGATGTCTTACCTGTTGGAAGAGGGAATATATTATCCATGTAAGAGAATGATGCCACATAGCAGAGGAGTTGAAAATATAGTCCAAGTGTGAACAGAATCATGTTGCCGGCTGCGGTCTACCTCCAATTGCACCGAGGAGTGATCTGAGGCAGTCCCGCACTACTGCTCTCTCTCCCCGCCTCGCTCACACACACACACACACACACACACACACACACACACACACACACACACACACACACACACACACACACACGATCCACGCCTTTAGGAGAAGTGAATGCCAGCCAATGTCTTTTACACCTCTCCCATGTATTGGCCCTGAGCTAAATATACAGGAGGCAGCCGGTCAGCTGCCCGCTGTAGCCAAAATTAGCCTGTTACTACTGCCAGCACTCAAATGGATAGAGAAAACAAAACAGTATGGATAGAAATGACATTGAAATGACAGGGTGTCATGCCAGAGGCAATGTTGAACTACCGCCATTCATTTATCGATAACACCACCCTGCATCATTTTTGCTGAAGGAAATCCAAAACTTGTTTCTTATTCATTTTGGGGTGCTGATTCCGAAGTGCCAAAGTCCAAAGTGTCTGTTTTGCTTTAGCATGTCACACTTTCTCACAAAATATGATTGACATTTCATAGCATTTTTTGCTTTTGACAACCGTAAGTAAGGTGAAGAAGTCTTCTATTATTCTCTAATACCCAAAACATGATTCATATTTTCCTCTGAGCCAGGTTAGAACTATCTGTTCAATTTACTGTCATATAAGAATGATTTTGAAGTTACTGATTATATGACTAATCCAAAATTAAAATTATCACCAGTGACAGAAGAACATGCGAACATAGCCCAGCTTCTGCTATATCTGTGGGTGTTTTACTGTTATAGCTTTAATTATTATATTGAGTTATTATATTTTTGTATTATTATATCAGTTTTTTTTTCAAACATTTTAATTTGACATTTTTAGTAATTTTGTTGTGTTTCTGTCTTTGTTTGTTTTGTATGTCTATATCGTTTTTATTCATTTTTGTTTCAGTTTTAGTACAGCTGTTTTAGTACATCAAGTTAAACTAAATGAAAACGAGAAATATTGCTTTGGCAACTAGCTGAAATTAAATATTTCTTATATTTTAAGTAATTTTTTTATGGTTTTTTCTTAGATAACTATAATAACCCTGTTAACAACATCCACACAGCAAGAGAAAATTGCAGATTTTGTGAAAAAAAAACAATTTGTTTATTTATAAACTCTTTAAGTTCTGTGACATTAAGTATTTTTACATTTTTACATTCCTTCGCTGATTGTAAGCAGGGTTATTATAATATTGAAGTAAAGTACTTGATGTACTAAAATAACTCAAACTAAAATAAAAATGTATAAAAAAGGAAAATATTAAAAAACTGATTTAAAATATTAAATGAAAACTATAATAGTATCTCAATGATACATTAAATACATCTTTTTGTCATTAAAACTGTTTATTTTGATAAGTGCTTTAAAGCTTATACGTATAGCCTATGCATATTTTGAGAAATCTTAATTCTTATTTCGTAAAGAAGACAACAAAAGCTTGTGATTGTAAGCTTTTTGCAAATCAGCACAAATTTATTAGTAATCTCAGCTTATATAGAATGACAGAGAGTCAATTTTGATGTGGGCACAACTACACACTGGTGTTTATTTATCAAAATTGGTTTGACCATCTACAATGTCCGAACTGGAGGACTTGAATCTGAGACGGGCTGCCACTGGCATGTGATGTACACACATGCATAAAATGACAGAATTAGCCTGCATGCTCTGTAGTGGAATATCACAGATGTTTTCCAGCCCCTCTCGTCTATCTCACCCTCCCTCTCTCTCCGTGTCCTTTTATTTCAGGACTTATCGACCACTGCTACTCACAATTTATTGGCGCCTTTACTTTCCCTCAGAATTAATGACAGCGCAATTATGAAGAGGGCCGCTTAAAAGCCTGATGGGAGATGCAGTCTGTAAACGCCTCCAATCAGACAGAGTGCAGAACAAAGAAGAAAAAGAAGAGAAAAACAGGCTCTTATGAATCGCATTTTAATTTTCCATCACTTCCCCTGGAAACAAAATCTTTCAAAGAACATCAAATGACATTAATTGTGAAGTTGTTATTAGAATTTTTTTTTTAAATCACTATAATTCTTTATACAATAACAATGTGCAAGTATGGCCATTTTTGTTTGTGCACAATAATTAAACAATTATAAGGCTTTAAAAGCGTGGCCGCTTTTGTACAATCCTGTCATTCTGCCCTTTTCAAACATTTTCAGATTTGGCTGTGAAAATGGTTCTTTTAAGAAGTCTTTTATATGCTGTAAAGTTGTTGGGAACATTTCTACACCTGGATCTGTCAAAGCCAAGGAGAAGATGCTCTCTTGCTCTGTGATAAAGCAGCACAGTAATGATACTTTATGAAAGAGCAGAAGATCAGGCCAGAATGCGCAAAAAAATGCTAATTAAAATAATCAAATATACAGTACAAACTGTCAGTGCCAAATGTCCTTTAATTTGTTATTAGACATTGTTAGCATTTTCTCTATAAAAGGAATAGTTTCGCCTCATTCCAAACCTGTATGACTTTTGAGGAAAAAAAGAAATACAAGAAAAACAAACAAACCAACAACAAAAAAAAAATATATATATTATATTTTGAAGAATCTTACTGCTGAGAAGCTATAAAAATGAAAAGAATGCATGGTAGATGTGAATATTATCTGTGAATAATAACTTCAGAAGCTCTTAGTAGAAATATGGTGCACAAATCATATGAATCAATTTCATGGTGCTTCTTTACTGCTTTTTTGGGGAGTTTGAGAGACATGGTCACATCGAAGTGTCACATCCTATTGACTTCAGGACGAATGACCTGGAAGTGCAAATGTAAAAACTTGTTCCCAAGTATTCCTGCAGCACCTTATGAACTGTTGTTGTCTGTAAAGTTGTGCGTGAAAATTCTTACAAAAAAATTCTACTTTAGTGTTCCACAGAAAAAAGTCATAAAGGTTTGAAACGACGAGGTAAATGATGCCAGAAGTTTTATTTTTAAGTGAAGTTTCCCTTTAGGTACTTAGAACTGGAATCTATAGAAATTAATTTCAATCAGTAGCGTTTGAGATCATGTTAAATGATACAGCTTTTCTTTTTATAGGAAATGGTGCCACCTACAGTAAATTGACCAAATGTAGTGAAAGAAACAGCGTTTGGTCATCAAGATATGATCCAATCTCATCCGATATCTCTCTCAGCTCTACAGATTTGCACGTGTCAGCCAGGGAAACTCCTAGGAGATAAACACAAAGTCTCATATTAAAGACAACAAAAGTTCTGTTTACACATGAATAAACTCCATTGAAGTCGATCCTGTTTATCTCAAAATGCTTTTGTAACACTAGAGAGTTTCCATTCATCGTTGGGGAAGCCCTTTGAGTGTCAGTGTGACATTCTCAGAGAGTTTCAGTGTTCCAGGCCGCTATGACACTCAATCCTTCAATATGTCTGCATGCTGTTGCCAGGATACACCCGGCACAACAAAGAGGGTCACAACTTTCAATAATGGGGGTCTCATAACTTTCAAGAATAGAAAGGTCAGTTATGTTCAATGTGTGTGTATGTGAGAGGGGGAGCAGGGTAAAAAAAAAAAAAAACGTTTGAGTGTTGAAATGTATGGTTACACAGGCCTTGTGATGTTATGAACTCTAAACAGTCAAACCTGTCAGAGGTCCAACACCACACCGCGCTTTTTCCAATAACTTAAAATGTAGGTGTTTTTTTCCCCTCTATGAGCCCCATATTCTCCTATATACGTAATACTATATGATCCATAAACACGTGATTTATCAAATATGATACTGAACAAAAAACACATGCAATTTTTTTTTTAGATTTTATTTTTATATTTTGTCTAAAGGTTTAATAAACATATTAGATTTATCTTACTATTATTGTGTATGACTCTCAAAGTTGCTTACGGCGGTTGAGCGAGGAACGAAGGGACGAGGTAATAACAATTATAACAGTCTTTTTAATAATCCAAAGGAACCAGGAACAAACACGTAGCAACGTGGAGTTGACGTTTAAGACTCGACAAAGAAGCATGGGGCAGACTACACTTTAAATACAAAACTTAACGATGGATTAAATAAGACACACCTGAATCAAATGGGACACAATAGGAACAGGAACTACCAAATTAGGGCATGAAACATGGGAAAACTGGGTCAAGGGGAGCAGTTGCTGATAATGAAATTGCCCAAAAATAAGTTGAAATTCTGAAAGCTTGTAAATCATTGAGATCATTATAACAGTATAGCAGACTACTTATATAAAATAGATACACTCTAAAAAATGCTGGGTTGTTTTAACCCAACTTTGGGTCAAATATGGACTAACCCAACTTTTGGGTTAAAAATGTCATTGAAAAATTTAACCCAACAGTTGGGTTAGTCCATATTTGACCCAAAGTTGGGTTAAAACAACCCAGAATTTTTTTAGAGTGTACAAATATCAGTTTTCACTCTATATTTCCCAATAATTTGTTGTAGTAAGATGATATTGAATTGCTTAGTTTTATAATCAAAGGTGTGTGGTTTTTATTGTGGGGGGCAAAATTGTAACACTTAAGTATAGGGACCAATTCTCACTATTAACTAGTTGCTTATTAGCATGCCTATTATTAACATATTAACTGTTTATTAGTACTTATAAAGCACATATTCTGCATGACCATATTCCACATCTCTAATCTCACCCAATATCTAAACTTAACAACTACCTTACTTACTATTAATAAGCAGCAAATTAGGAGTTTGAGGCAAAAGCCATAGTTAATGGTTTGCTAATAGCAAGAATTGGACCTTAAAATAAAGTATGACTGGCAAAACATATAATGCAGTGCAATACAATGATGACTAAGAGATGTACAAATAAACGCAAGACCTTTGTTCATCTTTGGACTATCCCTTTAAATGCCTGATGTATCATATTTGATACTACATTTTAACATGATTTTTTCTAAAAAAATAAAAAAATAAAATGTATGGATAATCAAGTAAACCTAAGCTCCTTGATTCAGCCCAGTAAGTGGTAAGTTTTCATCTTGAAATATTATCACAATATACTGTAAAAGTTATTCTTATATTGACTTCATAAAAATCAGTAAAGATTTCACAGCAAATAAACACATGACCCACAACCTGAAGGGGGATGGTTGAAATTTGATTTGCTTATAAAGTATATACTATCAATCAGGAGATAGCATGCATGTAGTAGATTGCGTACAACAGGTTTTTCAGCAGTACAACAGTTTTTATCATGCTCACAATTTAGAGGCCTTGGTTGCATATCAAATAAGATTCAGTAGGCTTTATAGGATTAAAATGAGAATATACAACTAAGTAGTGTTTTATCTAAATTGTTAATGATATTCCAGCTGATTGAACTATAATGTAAGGCTGTGTGTGTGTGTGTGTGTGTGTGTGTGTGTGAAGTACCTGTTGTTTGCGGTCTGAGGCTGGGTCTATAAGTACGTTGAGGAGGCTGGGCATTTGTGTGTTGTTCAGACTCTCCTGTAGTGCACTGCGGAGTTCCTCCACTGTTCGGACCAGATACCCACGACCCCCAAACGCACTCATCACCTGCTCGTACCGTGCCTCTGGTAGCAGCGTAACCGGAGGAGCACTAAAACACACACAGGTAAGTCTTATGTAAGATTTGATACTTGCTGGGTTCGATAGATATTAACCTTACTGACAGCAATTTAGTCTCATTGCATTTGCAGTTAAACCCAATCTTTCAACATGGAGCAATTTGTTGTATTATCTTCATTCCATCTTAGTCTAAGATAAATCGTAGATAAGTAGTGTCACACACAAAATTATAAAATAAAATCTAAAATTATAAAATAATATTAATCCAAGTATTAAGTGTTAAACTTGGATAAATATGTATAGCATGTTTTAATATGCTGGTAGGAAAACTAACAATACCATCTACTGTCAAAAAGGAGAAGTACATCCCGTCTGATCAGAAGCGTAGATAAAACATATCTCAGAAATGAAAAATTAACAACTAGACGAGAGATTAAAAGCAGAAGAAGGGAAATTCCGGTAGCACTTTATTTTAAGTATATAGTATGTACATGAGTAACAGGACTGTATAGTAATAACAATAACTAGGTAACAACCCTGAACCTACCCCTAAACCTAACCCTACCCTATGTAGTTACCTTATATTACCAGAACTTTCTTAGGTAGGTACACTGTAAGTACATGTAAGTTCACATACTGTAAAATAAAGTGCAACCGAAATTCCTGCATAAGCTTTAACTAGGGACGCACAATATATCATAACCATATTAGTTATTGATCGGTTACTGATTTTTAGTTTTTCTTATTGACCATTTTTTATATTTCCACTTTTAAGCCTTTTAAAACTGAGATGTCCAAACCGGGGATTGCGGGACAAAGCTGAGCCCTGATGACCTTTGATTTGGCCTGCCTTGCCACATCACATGAGGGAGGAAAATAGACCCTCATTTAAGTATTTTTGGCCCTAGCAGTAAAAAGTTTGGGCACCCAGAATGAACCCAGACCTTTCCTTTAATGCTTTAGACTCACATGGTGGTCATGTCTCCCATCTTTTCCATCTCTTTCCATGTCTTTGGATCCACTCCACTGTAGATGCCATTGTTGTTGATTACTATGATGATGACTGGCAGTTTATACCTATTCAGAAAAAAAATAAGTGCAGAGTGTTTATAGTGGCAGAGCAAACAGAACCATTTTATTATGCTGCACAATGCATAAATGCCCTATAGGTGGAGCTGTAAGTGGATGTTTCATTCACCTGCACATGGTCTCCACCTCCATTCCAGAAAAACCGAAGGCGCTGTCTCCCTCTATACACACCACTCTCTGAGCGCTCTTCTGCGTCTGCTCCAAAACTCCTGCTGCAATGGCAAATCCTGGACCCACTCCCATAGTGCCAAAAGTACCAGCATCTAACCTGTATAGGACATTCAGGTTACTGCTCTGGACATCACAAAGGTAGAACTCAACTTTAACAGAATTTTATAGTCTTAGTATCTGAGCTATGGTACTGTACATTATTTAAATTTCCTTACCAGAAAAATAATCTTAAAGAAAACAATATGTTGTATGGCTAAAATGAAATGTGAGTTCTCTCTTGCTTTTCCTGTGATCCAAACATAAACGTTGATTGCTCATTATCTAAACATAAGTTGTTTTTGTGATCTAAACAATAAAATATGTTTTTTGTGATCAAAACATAACAATAGTGTTTTTCTTGTGATCTAAAGATAACATTTGTTTTCCCATGATCTAAACATATGTTGTTTTTTGCAATCTAGACATAACAAAAGTTGTTGTTTTTTTGTGATCAAAACATAGCAGTGTTTTTCTTGGGTTCTAAACCTAACATTTTGTTTGTCATGGTCTAAACATAACATAGGTTGTTTTCTCATGATCTAAACATAACAAAAGTGGTTTTCTTGTGGAGTACATACAACAAAAGCTGTTTTCTCTTACTATAAACATAATATTTCCTTGTAACCACAACATAATAGTTTTTTCATGACTTTCTCTCAGCATAAAAAACTGTCGCTCTTCATTTCACTCATCAGCCACAAACCATTTCTGTATTTGAAATGTCACATCAGAGCGACCTTAAAATTTGCCATTGTCATGACAATCAGCACACATCGTTTTTTTTCTGTTGTATGTTTATTTGTGTTTATAAATAATATAAAAACAATTTAATTCAAGAAGAATAATTCATGTTTCTATTGGAACTAATTCAAGGTCTGGATCTGGACCACTAATTGGTGTTCTTTGATTATAGGGATAAAAACTGTAGTCATTCAAATACAGAGCGCTTCGTCTCTTGTCCAGCTGTGAAAAGTGGGGGAGGAAAATGTCTCTCACCTGTGTCGTGGGAGGTAATTGAGCAGCATGGTGCGGCCGATGTCCATAGTATTCGCTCCCTCGCTTACTATGATGCAGTCTTTGGGCAGGAGCTCAGAAATGTGGTGGAATGCTGTGTAATAGTTCATGGGCAGAGTGGACCGGAGAGCAAGACTCTGTGGGAAACAATAATAATGGTTCACTTTATACCATAATCGTTAAACACACAGTTCACATGTTAACATGAAAACAACCAATGCTATTTAATTACATCAAGTTCAATTACATCAAGTAGTTCATTACATGCTAATAACACACAAGCTCACCTTTGATATCTGAGCATTGGCAGTCATTTTCTCTTTCAGTGTCAACCACCATTGTGAATCAGAAGGAAATCTCCAGGATCTTACAGTTTCCAACAGCTTCAAACAGTGCAGGAAAAGAGATATAAGGGGTCATTTCATGTAAAACATGATTTTCCATAACTTTTACACTATTGATATTAAACTCTAAAAATCAGCACATTAAAGGGATAGTTCACTCAAGAATGAAAATTCTATCACCCCTACTTTGTTTCAAAACTTTATGAAACTCTTAGTTGTTGAACACAAATTAAGGTATTTTGAAGAAGCCAGTTGAAAATCGATACAGATATGTGACGATTCACAACGAGTTGTTAACCTAATCGCGATACAGTTGGGGGTAGGTGTTTATATGAATGTATCTCTGAGGGGAACTGACTGTCTTTAGATAAGTTAAGATGGTATTTTCTTTTCATCTCGCCTCCGTATAATGCAGTATAATAAAATAGTGTTCATAAGCGCACTATGTTTGTTTACAGCGGCAACCAAGGAAACGTTCTATGGCTGCTGTTCCATAAGCGCCACCTGCTGTCAGAGAGTGAATTTGCGTTCTCATTCATCCCTTCTGCTTTTTTTGTTTCATGCAGATGTTTTATGTAGTATAGTTTCACAAAACTAAAGTAAGACCATTCTGTTTTTGCTTCAAATTTCGAAATTATACAATCTAATTTAGATTAAAAACTGCTCATGCTGCATGTATGCAGCATCTTTGTTTGGATCGTGATTAAAAGTGGTTGCCACTAATTTTAAATGTAAAGAGCACAGGCAAAACCTTAATTTGTTTATATAAGGAGATTTGTATTATTATTTATTTATTTGATTTGGGGTTTGTTTTAAAATTTCTATTTAGTTTTGTTATTTGACATATTTCAATTTCACAAAGAAATGTGCAGCATTTTGTCGAAGTAATAATAAAAGGACACCTTTTCATTTATAATGTCTTAAATCTCATTTTGTTAAAAAAAAAAAATGAATCGTATGAAAATTGTATTGTGAAATCAGTATCATGAATCGCATTGTGAGTTGAATAAATCGTTACATCCCTATTCCATACATAGTATGAAAAAATAAAATACTATGAAGGTCAAAGACTACCATAAAATATCCAGTTACTAACATATCTTCTTTTGTGTTCAGAAGAAGAAAGAAATTCATACAGGTTTAGAACAAGTGGAGTGTGAGTAAATGATGACAGAATTTTCATTTTTGGGTGAACTATCCCTTTAAGATATGACTGACCAGTTATACTTATTAACACTCAGATTCAGTATTCTCTAATACGGTCGGAGGTTAAGAGGTTAGCCAAACAAAACAGGTCATTAACATAGAAAAGCCTTAAAGGTACAGAAAAATGTAAATTTCAAATAAGGGTAAATGATACGTTTTGACATTATAAGAGCAACTATAAGGGAATAAATGCTACAAAACATACTGGATTTCAATAGGACATTAGGAGTCTCTCACAGACCCCATAGAACATACAGAATGCCATGATGCAGATGCAGAAAAAGTGTGTAAAACTAAAAACATTGCATTTTATGTAAAACGACTGAGGATATACTGCAGTTTACCTGTCTGACCACAGCTCCTATGTCTCCAAGTAGAGCAGATGCGGCTCTCACATTATTACTCAACTCTTCAGCACACAGATCCACCTAAACAAATTCACACAAGAGTCCACACTAAAGATCATTTATGGCATGTCTTTATGGCAAAGTTGCAGAAACATACTGAGTGTCCAGGGTGTAACTAACCTGAATGATCTTCACATGGGGACTGAATCTGGGTGGAAAACCAAAGTGCAGGATCCAGTTGAGTCTGGCACCCAGCAACACTATAACATCAGCCTGCAATAAAGCTCTAGAAAAGAGAGAGACGGGCATCACACCAGTCCATCAAAAGGAGATTCTTTTGGAAAGATCATTTTTATACATATGCACACCTGGACCTGGCCGCAGCAACACAGTTAGGGTGGTCATCTGGCAGTACTCCTTTCCCCATAGGTGTGGGAAGGAAAGGGATCCCAGTCACCTCCACCAGCTCCCTGACCTCCTTCTCTGCCCTGGCATACGCCGCACCTGCAGCAGATCACAGTTCAACATTGCTTTGATCAGTTTCAGCTGTGAAGATATCATCACTCTTGGTCATTCAGTTCTATTCTGTTCACCTTTGCCGATGATGATCAGAGGCCTCTGAGCCGCTCTGAGCAGCCTGACAGCCTGTGTGATCTCCCTGCTATCAGCCTGACTCACAGGAGGAGCAGGACAGCAGGAAACAAACCTAGAGAAAAATGAAGACACATGCAATGCCATTTTGCACATTTCAGTACGCAAAAGAAAACAATGATCAATACGTGATCACATCACAAAATACAGTTGGTTAGGAAGCTCCCCATTGTTCTGATTAATGTTTAACTGAACATAAAGCTCACCTGACATTGGCCCTGTCTATTTTGGCGTTCACCATGTCTCCAGCTATGTCTATGTAGGACGCTCCTGGACGGCCATAAATGCTGCTCCTTACAGCCTAACAAAAACACAAACATTCCAACTAAAATATAAGGGGGAAAAAAAATCTAATTTAAAGGATTAACAAAAACTTTAATAGTATCTTAATGATACATAAATTACATTGCATAGTACATAGTATATTTGGCCAACATTTGAAAAACATCCTTTAAGACAAGACAAGATTTTTCAAACAAATCAGTGTTATTTCTGTATTATTTATTTACTATATTATTATTATTATTATATTTTGAATTAGCTTCTATTTTTACATTTTCAGTTTTAATTTAAATTATAGTTCAAGTTTAACAATTTTTTCTTTTTTATTAGTTTTATTTAATCTTTATTTAATCTTATTACTATATGTATAAAACTCTATTTCTATTTAGATTTAATTTATTTTATTTTATTTATAAGTTTTTTTTTAATTTAAGCTATTCATCTAATACTTATATATTTAATTTATCTTCATTTATCTTATTTTTTTTTAAATATTTAATATTTATTTTATTTCAGCTTTATTTCAGTATTAAATATGTTTTTTTCAATTAACAAAAGCAACAGTGAAAAAAAAACTATTTTGTCTCTGAACATAACTAACATATCACAGAGCTCGGTTTTACTTAACATGACAGTATGGCCAAACGGCTAAATTTGTACATCTCTTTAAACAAGATGAGTTCTCTATATTTCTTCCTGTAAGAGAAAAAATTTAAAATTTAAATTTCTAAAAATGTACATTTTTAATATCTTATAAAAGTTTAGCATTTTTGTCAACTGACAGACATGGCCTATGAACTACGAAACTTAAATTTTGATTAAATATTTACTTTTTCAACTACAGCTGGTATCATCTCAAGACTGCTTGGTCGAGCAGAAAACTTGCTATACAGACGACAGGCTTCAACCTGGTGAGGAACAAGAAAGAGGAACAAGATGAACAAGAGGTGAGAAACAAGAAAGTATTTAAGAGACACAAAAAAAAATAGAGACTACTGTTGGTGTTTTCTTTCCTTGAATTACTGAAAATACATTTTTGAGTCTGAATTTTGAATCTGTTGCTTAAGGGATCAATTTCATATCTATACCGCAATAACAAACTGTTTTTCTATCAAAGCCAAACATTTCCTATCAACCCTACCTGAGGAAACTCCTGAAACGCTCCTGTGGTTTCTTGGTTCCTATCAGATGAGCCGCCAATAACAATGACAGGCCTATGAATTCAAACAAGAGAAGAAAAGTACAAAAACTGCCCATCAATTCGCTTTAATCTTAAGTGAACTCAGCAGTGTAGAGCTACCAGCAGTTCATGTTAGCATTGGCCATTCCTCCAAGCGCATGAATCAGCCCAGGTCCAGACACAACCAGGCACACAGCTGGCCTGGAAAATTAAATGTAACTTCATCACAAAAAGAGCACAAAAAAAGTAATACTGAGAAACAAACTGACATATTCATACCGTCCTGTCAAATACCCAATAGCAGATGCAGCATAGCAGGCCTGTTAGGGGAAAAAAAAACACACCCAGACAGTCTTCAGTGTAATGAAACAGGATTATATTTTAAATAAAAGTGAGACTGTCTTACTGCTTGTTCATTGCGCATGCCAACATACTTGATGCCCGCTGCTTGGGCAGCCATGGCCACTTCGATGATAGGCACGCCAACAATGCCAAACATGTACTCCACATTCTGCACATGGAGTTGAATAGAAGTAAAGACATACCTAATACGCATACTAATATGTTGAATATTAATTTATTAAAAGTTGTTTCTGGCAATCTAAGGCACAATAAAAGAAGCAGTACACACATAGGTCAGGGGTTTTCAAACTGGGGTCTGGGAACCCCCAGAAAAAAAAGAGAGTGCTAGAGGGTCCATGTGAATTTTTAGAGTAAAGAGTTGTAAAAAAAAAGATTAGCCAACTAAAATTTATGAAAATAAAAAAAAAGTTGATTAAAATACAAAAAAGTTGAATTGATGATATGATATATATATATATATATATATATATATAAACTGACTAAAAAAAAAATTTGATTTAAATTAATAAACAACACATCTAACAGTACGATACTATAGTAAATAAAAGACATGATGTAAAAGAAACGAAATATTTTCCAAATAATAATTTACACATATTTATGTAATATTAATTTGTCAGAGTATTAATGTCCATCGCATTAAGATGATCACATTTAGGGGTCCTGAAAGCATCTGAAAGATTGAAAACCCCTGGTTTAGGTTACATATTTAGTCATGGTGTTACAGTTTTTTTTTTTATCTAATTATATCAGAAAATACAGAAAATTACACACACACAAACTTATATTCTTATTAATTTTTTAATTGCATTTTTTGACAGCTCTATTGCGCATGCGCAGCACCTTTGACACACTGTCCAAGTTCCAACAGTACAGCAGGCGATGTTGCAAATAATATAATAATAAGACTGTATATACACGTTTATTCTTGACTAAGTGACTAATTGCTAGAGGACAAATGTTTTTGATAAAAACTCCCTTTGCAAGACTATTTCAAAATATGCAGGAGAAACTTTGAGAACCCAGAAAAGAAGCATACGACAACACAACACAGACCTGAGATTTGAGCGCCTCAGCGATCAGCTGAGCTCCAGTCACTTCATCCATATTCACCTTCACAACACATTCATTTCACTCAGAGACACGTATCAAACTGCTCTTCTGTTGCTCTTCTGTCCGCCTGCTGCTCTTCTTCTGGGGTATGTGTGTAAGTTAGTTCAAATAAAATGAAAGCTCATGTCTCCACCTACTGGATAACTTGATGTGCTGTAGAGTGTGTACTCCTATAATTTTGTCGCACTCCCATGATGCAGGTTCATTCATTCATTCATTCATTCAATCATTCATTCATGTATAGGCTATATGTGTTTTTATTTATTTAACGAGTAGTTGCCATTTACAGCTGCTTATAATTAAGCACTGTCTGCTATTGGTATTGATTTTGTAATTATTATTATTATATGTATTTTTAATTAACTTGTCACATGGACAATGTGACACTAAATACTGATTCTTTGCTTATTGTTAAAGTTAAAACAAGTTTATTAACATTCAATATTTGCTAGAAACTCATACATTATCATAAATCCATTATTCTTCCTTTACAGGTTTATGTTTGAAAAAAGAAAAGAATAAAACCCACATGATTATATAATCTCCCATTTAGTGTTTCTCTTCATTGGTATCTACTTTAGCTTTCTGTCAAATTTTGCTCATCAATATGAAATTTCTACAGTTCATGTCGGTCAAACAAGGTCAATTTATTCATGTATTAGAAACTTTGGACAGCCTATAGTGTTTCTAGAGATAGTGTTCATTACTTTTATTTTAAACTAACTTGTTTTAATATTTTTACAGAAATCATCAGCATTTAATAAATCTAAATATTTTTTTTTCTCAAATATTTTTTAATATATTATATTTATTGAGGTATTTTGGGATTTTCAGACACACACAAAACAACAATCACAAAACAAGACAAAACAAAACACTCCTACACAGGTATGAGATGAAAAGAGGTGGGGGGGGGACATCTCCTTCAGATTCAATTTAGCAGTTAACCTCAACACCGGGTAGAGGCAAGGGAGGTCAAAACAGACTTTCGCTCATTGTGACATTATGGACAAGTTCAAATAATAATAACAATAGAATAAAAATAATAAATAATCACCTATTTTAGCTTTAAACCAAGGGAGATAGGGAAAGTGCCACTAAAAATAGAGAGCAGATAGATTGTCGCTAGCTTTGACAAGTAATTGAGAGAGAGAGAACAAAAAAATCATAAAGATGAAAATATTCAAATGTGGTATTTAAGAAAATAAACACACACGCACACACACACACACACGCACACACACCCACACATGGGCGTATTAACATTGACACAGAAATTAAACAAAATTACAATTACAAAGTTTCAAGTGGTGTCATGGTTATTGGAAATTTTTAACAGGTGACTGAAGAGAGGCCTCCAAGAAGCTTCAAATAGATCTATTTTTCCAGACATACTATATCTAAGCCTTTCTACATGTAGGGTGGGAGAAAGTTCAGACAACCAGATCTTGAATAGTGGCCTCGACTTTTTCTTCCAAATGCAAAGAATGGATACTATCATACTGTATAGGCACTCGGAAAGTGTGGTTAAGATGCTGCAAGGAGGCTGACCAGCCAAGAACAGCAGTTGCAGGATCTAAAGCAGGTGTGCCCAAACTCGGTCCTGGAGGGCCGGTGTCCTGCAGTTGGGCACCCCTGATCTAAAGGAAGCTCACATGCATAAGCTTCTAAATGAAATTGAAAAACTTCTGACCAGAATTCACCACGTTTAGGGCATGCCCAGAAAGATGACCAAGAAACCCTCCGCAGATTCACACTTATTGCAGAGAGAGGAAATAGTAGGAAATAAAGTATTAAGTTTAACCCTTGAGTAATGTAATCTATATGCAACACCTTGTACTGGATAAGTTGATGCCTGGCGTTAATAGAACAGGTGTATATATCTTTAAGACGTTTTGCCCAGTCTTCATCAGAAACATGAATATCAGAATTCACCACGTTTAGGGCATGCCCAGAAAGATGACCAAGAGAACCCTCCGCAGATTCACACTTATTGCAGAGAGAGGAAATAGTAGGAAAGAAAGTATTAAGTTTAACCCTTGAGTAATGTAATCTATATGCAACACCTTGTACTGGATAAGTTGATGCCTGGCGTTAATAGAACAGGTGTATATATCTTTAAGACGTTTTGCCCAGTCTTCATCAGAAACATGAATATCCAGCTCCTTTTCCCCAATCGTTTTTCAGATGATTAGTAGAGATGTCTAACTGACTAGTGAAAAAAATCTACTAATTTTGTGACTAACTTTGGGGTATTGGGAACGCAAGTATAAGTAGTTTATGCAATTCATTATCAGCTGAAAGTGTTTCAAAGTTTGGCATGGAACGAATATCATTTCTAATTTGTAGGTATCTAAAGAAGTGTGAAGCAGGAAGGTCATATTTCTCTTTTAGTTGAGAAAATGTTGCAAAATTGTTGTCTATGTATAAATCTCTCAAGGTGAGGATTCCTTTTCTAGCCCAACCTATGAACACTGGTTCTAGTAGTGAGGGCTTAAAGGCAAGGTTACGACAGACAGGAGCAAAAAAAAGAGGTACTTGGCAGTTGAATGTCTTACTGATCTGACGCCATATCCTGAGGGAGTTATTGATCATAAAGTGAGATCTTACTGCAGCTTTAGATTTCTCTGGGGAAGCAAATAGCAATGAGGAGAGAGATGTGTTTGAAGCACCCCGCTCAATCATAAGCCATGAAGGGAGATCAGCTGAAAAACTATCAGGGCATGGGTCCTGCCAAACGGTTAAGGCTCTATAATTGGCAGTCCAATAATAGTGTTGAAAATTTGGCAAACCCAACCCCACCACCCCAATAACCTAGGCTTACAAACATGCAGTTTAGATATTCTATGTGCTTTAAAGCCCCAGATGAACAGCAGTACAATAGAATCTAAAGTTTTGAAGAAATTTTTGGGCAAATAAATTGGTAAATTCTGAAAAAGATACAAGAATCTGGGTAATATCACCATCTTAATGGCATTCACACGCCCCATCATTGAAAGTGGCAGGGTCCTCCAGTATTTTATATTGCTTTTCAGATTTTCTAACATAGGAAAAAAGTTAAGTTTATATATATCCTTATATATTAACTCCAAGGTATTTCAAACTATTTGTGGCTATTTTAAAAGGAAGACTACGCATAACATTTGAGTCAATATTGTTAGTGACCGCCAAAAATGCACTTTTTTGCCAGTTTACTGAATAACCTGAGAGTTTACCGAATGTTTCCAATAAATTTAGCAAGGGTGGTATAGACTGTTCTGGGTTGCGAAGATATCGAATAATGTCGTCTGCATAGAGAGAAATATGAGGATTGATTCTGCCTAAATTTGGGAGCAATATTAAAGTGTTCTTTTTAATGGCAAGGGCAAGCGGTTCAACTGCAAATTGCAAAAAGCAAGGTCAAGAGAGGACAGCCCTGCCGGGTGCCTCTATGTAATAAAAATTGGGTCCCACTTTATATTAAGTGGCCCTAATACCTGTGTACTTACATAGTAACTAGATGTGTACGTAGCATGTAATCACAGTGTAAGTACACATTCGTACATAGTATCTAGAGCTGTAATATTTCTGTACATGTAACAACCCTCCGAATGGTTTTTGTAAGTACAAATGTGTAACAGGACATATATAACTACATTTTGTAACAACAATATGTATAAGAGTAATTGGAACAATTTGATCCAGGGGGTGGAGATGGGTAGGTTTAGGGATATGTAAAGTGGGAGGAGTTAGATCTCGAGTTGGTGCACCACTGTAATACCAGTGTACTTACATGGTAACTCCTCAGGAACTGTCCACTTAATATAAAATGTAACATTCTGGACACCAACCACAATTTATATGTAAAGCCTAACTTACTGGCCGCTGCTGTGTAACATCAGAGTAATTACATGATAAATCTAATATGAAGTGTAACACTTTCTTTACCAAAAAGTGCTGTTAGTCCTGTTACACATTTGTACTTTCATTACCAAAAAGTGTTGTTACCAATGTCCTGTTACACATCTGTATTTACACATACCATTCAGTGGGTTGTTACATATGTGTAGTTACGCAAACATTACAGCTGTAGATACTATGTACCAATGTGTACTTACGCTGTGGTTACATACTATGTACACTTCTAGTTACTATGTAAGTACACAGGTATTAGGGCCACTTAATATAAATTGAGATGATCTATTGAAACCGGTTAAAACCGAAGCTCTAGGTTGTCTAGTCCCAGTCCTAGGATGAGTCCCATTCAATTTGGTCAAACGCCTTTTCTGCGTCCAAGGCAAGAACTGCAATACTAGTTTGAGACTCAAACCTGGTACATAAGATATTCATTAGTCGCCTGACATTAAAAAAGGAGAAATGGCCAGGAATGAATCCTGACTGGTCATGATGAACAATTTTCCTAATACAATTATTTAGTCTGCTAGCAAGGAACCTAGTGAAGATTTTAAGATTGGGGTTCAAATGAGATATGAGTCAATATGATGATGGATTGGTTTCTTCTTTACCTTTTTTTAGAATTAGAGAGATATTTGCCTCATTCGAGGACTGGGGGAGCTGGTGTTTACAAAATGAGTGATTAAACATTCTCAACAGCAAGGGAGAAAGGGCCTGTGCAAATTTTTTGTCAAATTATATTCCAAACCCATCTGGGCCAGGCGCCTTTCCAGCAGGGAAAGATTTAATAGCATCTAGTATTTCTGCTATTGTTATGTCTGCATTCAAAGCTGCCTGCTCTGCGCACCCCAACTTTGGAAGGTGTAATGAATGAAGAAATTATAGCTAATGCTGAGCTGTCCGAGCAGCCCTTTGATTTGTATAATTCTTCATAAAATTCTTTAAATGTATCATTGATTTCAATGGGATTTGCTAAAACGACACCCTCCTTGTTTTTGATTTTATGGATTGTCAATCATTTATTTTAAGACCTTAAAGAAGGGACCCTATATCACAAGCTTTCTGGATATTGTCTGCTTCTTTGATGGGTTTCTTTTTGTTAGTATAAATTAAGGCTGGAATGTAAGTAGAAAAGAGCAGACTTTAAATATTTGACCAGATGTAATTCACAAAGAACCATTCTTAT